ACAGACTACCTTAACTACAGAACAGTTGCTTTGATACCACAATCAGTAATCTTCTGGCAGCAATATTCCAATGATTTGTTAAAATGCCATTCATATTCTCTCAATTCATGAATAAGTCTCACATTTATTGGAATTAACTAGTGTTATTGTATTATTTATGTACTGAAAACCTCATTTACTATTGATGACGTAATGAATTGATTCGGGTTATCGTCAATTTCTTTATAAACCTTGGAATCGAACCGCCAACAAGAAACGGTCGACAAATTTTATCTCAGAATCAGATACTAAACATTGCAAATTCTAAGATTCGATGAGAATAAAAATTAATTACATTGATTCAGATACTGTTGTAAGTATCTTCACTAATTACACTATGTTACACTCCAAATACTGCAAGTTGATACTGATAACATAGACCACCACTTAAGTGGTCCTCTACAGGTTAACATAACCAGAATGACGAAAATATGCTTGATCGCTGTCTATAATGTTTCAATAATTCGTTCAAATGCCAATCATATTATAGCAATTGCTATTACCATTACTAACAATGTTTGTTTTTCTTTAAAGTTGTTCAAAAATTTAAAATCTAGATGTGGAATTTTTCTAGTTCATTGAATTTCAAGGTTAATTCATTAACATATTGAACTGTAACAAAATTATAATATTTAAATAAAGATTTCTTAGGAATTCCTTTTAGGAAGCAGGTTCTTTTCATAAATAAAATTACCTTTTCTTTTAAATCCAAATGCATTTATTTACAACGTTATATATAATAAACACTGTAAATCATAAAAAAGAAAACTTCAATTATCGTTACATTTTTAAAACTAACAACTATTTGTTAACGTTTTATTTTTATGATTTAATTGTTTTCTTCAAAGTATTTCTTAATTAGAGTAAATACTCGACAGTTATTGATTATTATGAAGAAATAATTAATTTCAAGAAAAGAAAATTAGTTAATTACTTATAGTAACGATCTTATCATCACTCAACATTAAAAGATTTATCCTAATTAAAAAAAAAAAAAAAAATAAATCTCACAGTTATTCACAAGATACGAGAAACTGTTACAAAAAAAATATAAAAAAAGAACGAAAATAACTTCATTGTGCTTCACATTTAAATCCTAACAATAATAATATAAAATAATAAACCATCATTACCTTTTTTTGTCATTAATCTCCCTCCAATTAATTTTTTTGCAATCAATTAACTTTCGATCTCTTTTTAGCAATAGCATCTTCCACCGCCTTTAATTGTTTCAACAATTCCTCCCTTCTCGATGTTGCCTTTTTATTAGACGCTGCTTTAGGATCGACCAAAGGTGGTGAAGCAGCAACCCTCTTTTTTCCACCACCCCCAGAACTCTCAATTTTCCTAACATCACCCGTTTCTGGTTTTCTTACTCCAACCGGATTTTTTAAATTCAATTTAATTTGTTTCTTTTCCGTACCACCTTTCAAAACATCCATCGCTTGAGCTTTTAATGCCATCGCTAAATCAACACCTACAAATGCTCTTAAATAGTTTACCTACTAGAAGTTGGTGAGTTAACTTACGTCGAGGTGGAGGACTCCCATCTCTACTCGTAGAACTGCTTGATCCTGAAGAATCAGAGTCGCTTGAACTTGAACCGGATGACTCGGATGATGAACGAGACGAACGCCTTCTACCTTTTACTCGAGCTAAAGCTGCCGCGATGGCTAATTTGCTCGTTGTACGCCCCAAATCGGATTTGGATGGTGGTGGTGGGTTTTGAGCACCAACACGCATCATACCTAACAAAAAAATTAATTGATTTAATTACAATATTCTTTTTTAATTCAAAGTAATTTTGAATTAATTTACCTGGTGATAAAGCCTTTTTCTTTGGTGCTGGTGGATTCATAAGAGCAGCACGTTCATTAGCAGCTTTTCTTTCGGAAACAATAACTGACGGTGAAACCGCTTGCCTTGGTCGATGCGAACGATTTTCTTTCTTATGCCTAGAGGTTCTCGATCGAGAACTATACGAACTTCGACTCGATCGTGAAGAAGATCTCGATGAGCTACTCGATGAATAACTCGAACCAGAACTGTACGATCTCTTCCTTCCTTTTCTCGTTCCGGGGGATTTTGATCTCATCCATGGATCCGACCATTCGTCTCCTCTACCTTGCGGACGTTCTTCCGGTACTTTTTGAACGATAACTTCGCGTTTTGGTCGCCGCGGTTTTGATGAAGATTGTCCGGGTGCTTCTTCTTCGTATTTATTGTTGTAATAATCCGGCATACGATGTGGTGGTAATTCTCTGTAAGACGGGCGCACTCTTTCTCTTGGCTGAAATTCGGGTTCGTACAAAACTTGACGTCGTCCGTAGTATTCTTCGGGAGGTGGTGGTCGAGCAATCGGAGGATATTCAGCGGGAACCGGATGGTGTGGTCTCATTACGTATCGTGGTTCAGGCGATGGGGCCCTAGCGTAATAACCATTTTCTTTATCAAATTCTTCTTGAGCTAAACTAAGGTTCATTTTTTTCTCTTCAAAATCAATATCTTGTTCTTTCCTTTTCATAGACTTCCTTAACATTTCTTTTGCCGTTCTTAAGCCGCGTTCCCAAGCCGATTCTACCATCGGCGGTTCAGGACGGTACATTCGCTCTTCACGACCATACTCACCCGGAATAACTGGTCTAATCATTTCGAACATGGTGTAATTTCCTTTATCTGTTACACCTGGGTGAAGAAACCGACAACTTGCACCCCAAGTGCATTGCCCCCTCGAAAAAAATCGACAAACCGGTCTCGGTTCAGTTTCTTCAGGTCGAGCTTCATCCTCATCAGTTACCTCCCCCTCTTCTAATTCATCCTTTTCTTCTTTTTTATCTTTTTCCTCCACTTTTTGGGCAACAGCTTCTTTATCTTCATCTTTCGTCGGCTCTTGATCTTGACATTCACCATCTTCCGCTTCAAAATCGAGTTGTTCTTCGCCTTCTTCAGCTTTACTCGTTTTTTCAGAAACCTTTTTTACTTCCGTTTCGGTCGGCTTAGGATCGGCGGGAATTTGTTCTTCTTCTTCATCTTCGATTTTATCCTCTTTATGTTCTTCTTCTTCTTCCTCGGAATGACATCCTATTGAATCATCTAAATCGGAAACGTCTGATAAATCGTCGTGAGTGATGTTTATCGATTCTTTTTTCGCTTCTGGACTTTGTGGTTTTTCATGATCCGATTCCATATCACCTTTTGAAAGAAAAAAATTAATCATAATATCCGAAAATTAGATACATTGTAGTAAAAATGTTTAAATCGTTTTGAACTATTTAAAATGATCAAAAACGGATTGGTACTCATTGCTGTTAAAAATATTTTCTAAAAAAGTTTAATTTAGTAAAAACGGCGCGTCACAATGACATTAGGTTCGTTCCAACCGCACTTTTGACTGCCAATTGACAGTCACCAGCCTGCGCAGTTGAAAAGTGCTGTTCCATCCGACCCGTGGACGTGCCGCGGACTGGTCGGCGACAAGTTGTCATGAGTTCCAACGAGCGTCGGACGCGTTCATGTACGCGCCCGCGACAAGTCAAATGCGTACCTGGTTTCGACCATATACATATATACTATCTCCTATATCGCTGACTCCCTATCTAAGCAATGAGTGGCGAGCGTTTCCATCAAAAGCAGACGGAATGATATATGTTTTGTCTTTGTCGTGCCCCCATGTCGTGAAGGTGCTTGCGCGAATCGTAAATTTTAAAGAGTTTGAANAACTCATTTCCAATTGTGCAGCCGGTCTGTTTGTATCTCTTATGGGTATCTTTACCATCAAGCGTGTCTGTCACGACGAGCTGAGTCAATAGCTTTGTTTGGTATCTTGCACTAACGTACACCAGTGCACACTTTTTCTTAAAAATAGTGTTTGGTAGACTGGTGTAGATAGTGCCGCCGCGTTTGGTAAGCGATTGCGTTTTAAAAGCGCAGACACTTTTCACACCGACTCGCCGGCAAGTGTAGGAAGTGTAGTGTAAGTCGACATAACCTTTAAGACGTATTTAGTTTTTTGAAAGTGTCAAAGTTAGATTTATTTAAACAGAAATAAAATATTGTAAGCTAGTAAAAACAATAAATAACAGTTTGATTTGTAGAAAACGTTCTATTCAATTAAAATTAACAACCCAATAGGAAGTTCTGCGGTTAAATATAATGGCTAAAATTGAAAGACAGTTAAATGTAAGAATAATTTATGATGAAGGGGGAAAACTACAGGCAACATTTCCTTTTTTGATTTATTCATCTTGATTCTTTGATCAATAATAAATTATTCAACTTCCTACAGAAATAATAAAGATTACATAACCTATAACTGTCATAATAATCCGTTTTACCAAACACCTAAAATTGTTACACTTATGCACTTTGAAAATGTGTTGAAAACTGAGAGTTGTCAACTGCACTACACTTGCTACACTAGGAGTATTTATAGCAAGTGTACCAAACACAGCTATTAAGTAAGGTTGTGTATATTCTAAACGAAGTTGTCACTGATTGTCACTTTAAAGACGAAGCCACTAATCTCTCGTCACTTGGCTAATATCTACGTTTTGAAATTAAAACTNATAGACAACTTAATCAAAAAAGTGAAAAAACATGCATATTTTTATTTCATTTTTCTAGTAAGGGTTATTATGGGGTTATTACGCTTTTTTTACATTTGTAATTAATGCTACTTTAGTTCATTATTGTTAAAAAAATGATTAAATGGATTTCGTTTGAAATGGTAAATTGTGGTTGCAGCGCTAACTATCGGCAGGGTTGGATATAAAATGTACATAGAAATTGAAAACCGTTCCAACAGCGTTGACGAAATGTACGCGTACACGAACGTGTCCACGGACGAACATGCGCAGAAAAAAGTCCTGTACTAGTCGTGTACGCGTACACGACGAATCAAATTTGTGCGGTTGGAACGAACCAAGGTTTATAGAACATAAGGTTACCTCATTCCCTATGCCTCTGTAGTATCGATTATTACCCCGCAAATTGACGTCACTGGTTCGATACAGTCAGAATAAAAGATAGCCTATACGTGCCTATACTGTGGTACAGTCTATATAAAATAATTAAACCTCACATTGTGTTGTGTTGTTCATAGAACCAGCTACGTCACTGACCCACCTTGCCTCTCAGACGAGGAGAATCGGTATTGGGTAACCTTATGTTCTATAGACCTTGGGAACGAACCTATTATTTCTATTTTTTAGGTTAGTTGTTCCATTAGGTAATTACTTAATGTATTAATAACGTTATAGGTAATTACCATCTGAAATTTCTTCAGCTTGAGTATCTTGATTCTTCCCAACATTTTTATTTTTCCTACTAGATGAATCAACACTCGATTGACTTGAATCGGACGTATTTCCATCCTCCAAATTAATATTTTTTCGAGCCCTTCGAGATTCCCGAGACGATCCACTTTTATCAGAATTAATACTCCTTTCGGCAGAGGACTTTTTGGAACTTTCGCTACTTGGAGATTTCGGCGAGTTTGGTGACTTGGGCGATTTTGGAGATTTGGGTGATTTCGGCCCATCACCTTTTTGCATCACTTCCGGACTGTTTGACCTACTCCTAGATGAACTGGAACTAGATCTACTCCTCGCCGAATTTGATCCAAATGAATTAACGGGTGACGAATAAGGATGGCTGCTGTAAGGCGAAACGGGACGATAACCTGAGCTCGGTGGGGAACCTGGTGGGCTGCTAGGCGATCGTGGTTCGCTTTGCGGCGATCTAGGTCCTCCGCTGGATGGTGAGTGAACATGATTTTTTGAGACAGATCGATCGCTCACAGGGGATCTTGAACCTGAGCGAACACTCGAACGGGTCGAAGAGGGGCTTTGGGCTCCTTTTGATTCTGTCTCGCTTTCCGAGTCCATGGCAACTGTGAAAATGAGGTAGTTCGAAATGAGAGTTGATATAAAAGAGGTGATTTGGCGATGAAAATGTGTTTATAAGAGGTGATTTATTTTTCGGTTAAGGAAGACACTTTTTTGGAGTTTATCTAGCTTTTGTTGTTGAGGCCGGTGTTTTAGATACACGTCCGGTAGGAAATTAATTGGAACATCTATTGAAAGAGTGGAAATACTCTAAAATAAATGTAACAAGTAATTTGCTAGTGGACTAAAAAAACACCATTAACGGTCTGAAGCTTACCTGCGGAAATGCGAACGGTCCTTGTATACCATAAAGGAACACATGGGTTTGCCTCTTCGAGGAAGAAAACATTTTTGCCAAACTACTAACTTACTGTTACAAACTGACGACTTTTTGAATCGCACAACACAAAACTACTGAATAGTCTCTTTCGCGTTTTATACTTTTTATTGAATCAACCGCGATACATTTTGCGCTTCTTTTACATATTTTGCATTTTTATAAACCGAGATTAACATCAGCATCAGCAGTAATTTTTTTGTAAACACGTTTTATTTTTTTGTTTGTCGGATTTCGCTTTAGTTGGAAGGAAGTGTTTAACGGCTCTCACTCTCTTTCTGCACCGACGACATGTTCCTTACCTTTACTAGGCCGTACGGTCCGGATGCGACTCGCTTTGCACCTTTCTTCTTTAATATAACACTTAGGCCTTACATCAATTTATTAATATTTATTTTCTTTTTTTGATCGTTTTGACAAACGGATACTTATAAAATGGCGACAGCCTGTTGTACAACATGCGCCGAGACGTTGCAGTTTACCACTTTATCGATCCAACTATTTTTTAATGCGCATGCTCCAACACAATAAAACAACAATTATAATAATATATCAAATTTATTGTTATTTTTATGTATACTAACGTTTTTAAATAACAACATTATTTGCGTTATTTCTATACGGACTGTATAAATTAATTTTTGCATATTTTTTGACAACAGCAATATGTGGTGCCATCTGTTGGTGGTACCTTTGACCACATACTTAAAATTGCTAAATTCTAATTTAAATCTATCTAACCAAATAAATCTTTAATTATATCTTTATTTAAGTATTTAAATATCCTTTTATAACATCAGAAAGTTTCAATTCTTAAATCCAAGCCGTTTTAGAGTAATTAATTTTTTCTCTCATCTTATTTTTAAAAATCGTTAAATTCAAATTGGGGATAATAAATTTTATTAAATAAAGTAGTTATTTATATCATCCCTTTATAACCTCAAAAAGTTTTAACAGTTCGTAACAATTGTAGCACCATCCATTGATACTTTCACCAACTAAAAAACGCAGATTTGGTCTTTAACTAAACATCAATTCAAGTCCCTTTGTCTCCGCGCTTTCTTTCATTTGATTAACATTCAAAATTTGATTGAAATGAAGTTTCGACCCAAACAATAAAATAATTTTAATGAACGAACTTTGGGTAAAATTAAAGTAGAAGATATTCTTTGTTTCAATTGAAATCATAAAAATGAGTCACGTAGTCTTAAAAGATTATGCAGGGGGCTTACTTTCGTTGTGAAAGCTTCCGCAGATGGCACGGAGCAACTAATTTCATATCGTTCTCTGTCACCGGGCAAATTAAATTTTATCTTGGAGCAGCAGCTTGCCGCAGCACCGCTTTAGTATGCGAACGCTAATTCCGTTCTGACGGGGACAATGGGTCTTTCCTACTAACGTTTCATTTATTCCGCAAGAGAACCGTAGGTCGTCTCATCTTTTCAACGATAATTTGCGAACACTCGAATCTGGAATTGTTTCACCAAAGGAGATGGAGAGGAACGCCCGGAGATTGGATTAGGCTTCAGGCAAGTTTGAGGCTTTTCTCTAGCGATACTTTAACTTTACTTTAACTGGAGGAATTGGAGGAACTGAGGGATGGCGGCGAGGATTAACGGTTGGGTGCTTTTAAATTAACATTTTTACATGATTTTAGTTGGATTAATTGTGCTTTAAACGAACGCAAAACATTACGTTATTAAGTAAACAAGGGGTTTGATGCGTATATCTCTTCCTGTGTATACACGTACCAAAACATCAATATTCTCTGTTGACGGTTGCTTTCTGATCGTCGAGCGAAAGGATATACAAGTGGGACGACCGACGCGACGTCCCCCCGCCGGATTACGTCGCGTATTGACGGCTTGCTAATCGATTTTCACCGTGGCGAATTCATCCGCCAGATAATGCATTAGGGATGTCCAAGATTGACGCTCTATTTTGTGCACGAAATCGATCCTCTAAAATGTCTAGGTGCACAGCTTGAATAATTCATAAAATTTTTGAGGATACGATGAAAAGACTCCCCGCGTCGTAAATACGCGGTTTGTATAGGTTTGCGGGTGTCATCGCACCGAAATTCCAACAGTCTGTACGATGTATGGGGTTTTGGTTGCGCTTCGTGAACCGAATCCTAAAAGGGAACCCGAAAACTACTGAATCAACCCCTAGATCAAAGTGCATTTGTAGTGTGTTGATTCATTTGGTTAATTGGTTGCTTTCGGATTGAATAGGTCGTAATCAGTCGTCATTATGTAAACGTCAATGTAATTTACTTCCAACACAAAGTGAAATTGTTTCGTAAAAAAATCGAATTGGAATCAAATTTTTAGGTGACTTAATGGAATCGAAAAGACGTAAATTTCATCCGATCTGTCGGTTGTGATAAATACGTAAAATTTACTACAATCATATCGCATAAATTAACGCCTCCCAATTTGCCAATGTATTATGTATATGGGAGGGTTGATATCCACCCCTCGAAGTCGATCGTAAAATCGGCTCGTGCGGTTATCGAGCGAACCTAAAATGGGGAGACCGTAGGGGAAACTGCTGAAATTCACCAGGTCATCTGAATTTCCGCGACGGATTTACGTTCTAACAGGTATAAATTATTAATTTTGGTGGAGGGGTGGTATATTTAAACTGAATCAAAATATAGACGAAATATACTAATTTAATTTTTTTATTTATACAGGGAGTTCCGGTGACTCGGGGCATAAAATTAACCTCACATACTAGAGCAAAAATGATGACGATTCGTGAAAAAAAATTATTATAAAAGTCTTCAAATGGCCAAAATATAGGCCATCAAAGTTCAGAAATTTTAACACATTTTTCTAAATATTTTCAATACCATTTATGGTAGAGCGTTGAAATTTGGTACAGGGTAAACAAATATCAAGCAAAATAATTGAACCAATTTTGACTTTGATCGGGCGGCGGCAACCATGTTATATAGAGTGTCCCTAAAATTTGTTTGCTCAGAACTTTTTTGTTCGCTCGTAACCCTACATTTATTTTTGTACCTTTCAATAGAAAATTTATTTTAGAAACTTTTATCACTCTTTGAAAATTTTGATAACATTGACCGTTTTCGAGTTATACGCGAAAATATTAAGCTTTGATTTCAATCGTAACAAACAAAAAAAGGAAACATATTTCGCAAAATCTGAGTTGGCGATGACAATTGAAAAACGAACTGAGTTAATAACCATTATTTGCATAAATTTTTAAGTGCAGATTTAGTTAAATCCAGTGTTAATTTATTTTAGTTGAATAAAAGAATGTAATTTCCAAAACAATAAATTTAATTTTCACGGTAACAACAAACAAGAACATAACAAAAATTCTAACAAAAATATTAACAAGAACAATAAAATTATAAACAAATAGTAATAAATAAAAAAGAAGAAAAAAATACTAAAGCAGATGTTCAAAAACACTTCCGCCGGCATCAATGCACGCCTTATATTGCCGTCTTAAATTAAAGCGCACTCTGCGGTGAACATTGATCTCAGTTCGAAGTTGATCAAATGAATCAACAATTCGCAACCTCAGTTGATCAACTGAAGTTATTTCAACGCAGTAAACTAGCGATTTAACGCGTCCCAATAAATAAAAATCTACAGGTGTAAATCCACCGACCCAGAAAACGTTCCCTCAGAAATTGTTGGACAGCCTGTGTGCTATGCGCAGGAGCACCATCATACATATACCACATTGCTTGCCTTGTGTTTACAGGAACGTCATCTAAAAAATCATCCAATTCCTCTAAATATCGCCTGTATGTATGTCCATCCAGCCTTGATGGCAAGAAAACGGGTCCAATAATTACATCGCCCACAATGCCAGCCCAAACGTTA